CACATGTTAACTGCAAAAGAATTAAGAATTAATGTGAAGAATTAGGTGTGAAACCATCAGGAACCCTTTAGTCTCCAGCACCATCATTTTCCAGAACTGCAACCTTCCTGGAGTCTCCAGAAGTGCAATGTGTCAGATTCTCAGAGACTTTGCTTGGGTAAAAAATCCTAACAAATGACCCTGATTTAAGATTAACAAGCTGAAGTTGTGAAATACATGAAGATTGTTTTTTTTTTTTATAGGCTTTATGGACAGATAGGTTGAGAGTGACTCTTGAAGGACCAGCACCACATCCTCTTGTACCAAACACCAAAGAGAAAGGAAAAATTGAAATCGCATCATATGACCCCTTTAAACACAACACAATATTGGATAAATGGTTATCAGTGCGTCCTCCAGGGGGTAGCAGCGTGAGTGCTTGTACTCAGAATGCTCCTGGTTTTAATGCGGAGCCCCAAGTGGGGTTTTCTTGTGATAGTACTCAGCCAACGTCTTTCCCTGCTGTTCATGTTACAGGTGGGGATTTTCATTTTTCTGATGCCACTATTCTAATTAGCACTTCTAGAGCCTCCTGTGTTCCACGACCATGACAGGACCAACCCTAAGGAGTGAGAAGGTTCACCATGAGAAGGATGCAATACTAGAAATTGCAAAGTTAAGGCATGACCATTGGACAGCGAAATGCTGATTGGGTCAGCAGGGTCAGAAAAAACAGGTGGAGAAGAAAAGAGACATGTTAACTGCAAAAGAATTAAGAATTAAGGTGAAGAATTAGGTGTGAATCCATCAGGAATCATTTAGTCTCCAGCGCCACCATTTTCCAGAACTACAACCTACATGGAGTCTCCAGAAGTGCAATGTGTCAGGTTCTCAGAGACTTTGCTTGGGTAAAAAATCCTAAAAAATGACCCTGACTTAAGAATAATAACAAGCTGAAGTGTTGTGAAATACATGAAGATTGTTTTTTTTTTAATGGGCTTTATGGACAGATAAGTTGAGAGTGAATCTTGAAGGACCAGCACCACATCCTCTTGTACCACTATTTGAAGAATTGATCTTCCAGAATCTGGCAGTACATTTTGGGAGTTCATTTGTCCTCAATCTCTGCAAGACAGACTTTTCAGGATAAGAGATGGACTAAAAATGAACTCCCAAAACTTACTGGCAGATTCTGGAAGACAAATTCTTGAAAGAGTGGTATAAGAGGATGTGGTGCTGGTCCTTCACGAGTCACTCTCAACTTCTGTCCATAAAGCCTATAAAAAAATTAATTTAAAAATTAAAAAAATTCAGTCTTCATGTATTTCACAACACTTCATGTTATTCTTATTTAGTTGACTTCATTTGTTAGGATTTTTTACCCAAGCAAAGTCTCTGAGAATCTGACACATTGCACTTCTGGAGACTCCAGGAAGGCTGCAATTCTGGAAAATGATGGTGCTGGAGACTAAAGGGTTCCTGATGGTTTCACGCCTAATTCTTCACATTAATTCTTAATTCTTTTGCAGTTAACACGTGTCTTCTCAACCTGTTTTTTTCTGACCCTGCTGATCCAATAAACATTTAGCTGTCCAACGGTCATGCCATAACTTTGCAAATTCTAGTATTGCATCCTTCTCATGGGCATTTAATCATTTTTGACTTTTCAGTCTGAGTTAAATCTCTTTTTTGGCTCATTTTATCTGTAAAAGAAAACATACCTAATAATTATGCACATCTGAATATAAGTTTTTCACTTCCAGCCTTCATGGACAATTATAGTTAACTTATAAATGTGTCAGCAAATACACAAAGGTACACGGAGGTAAGAGCACACAACAGCAGGTTTATTAACCGAGCAGGCAGATGTAAGCAAGACAACTGATCCAGGTGAGTATTAGGAGAATGGCAAGGGTTCTGGGTTCTTATCTGTGAGGAGTAATGAGTTCTTTTCCAGGGAATCCTAGGAGAACAGCGGAGCACGGGGAACAAAGGAGTGTAGGAGCTGAGGAGCAGATCATCGGGGGAGCTTGGAAACAGGTAGGAACCAGGTAAGTAAGCATAGCCAACTGTGAGACCAGACAACTGTGACAGCGAGGAGAGTGCTAGGATATAGGGAGCTTTGTAAGTATTGCCTATTTTACATGTAAAATAAAAAAGACATACCATCAGGTCCAGTTGGAGCAGTGTCAGATGTGAGTGGAACCTCAGACTCCGCTTCTGAAGGTGGGTGATGAGTATCCATCTCTTCCACATCACTGTCACTGTCATCTGTTTCATCCCTAGAGACAGCTATAATACAGAGGCATATTAGTAAAATACATGGTTTTTAACCACAGATCATGATATTTGTTTAGTGTGATTTGGATTTATGCATTCATAGTTTTAGAATAGCACTCAGGAGTGCACTTTTTCTGTACGATACTGAAATTAGTACCAGTATATCAATATAGGGACTTCTCTGATTAAAGCAAATGTGTCGCCCTGAATATACCCAAACTCATGTCACTGTCCACTTTCTAGCTGGTCTACTAACCTGGTTGAGGGTGTACGGGGCTGTTCTGACCTACACTCGCATCTTCCTGAACCAAGATGTCTCCTGTCTCCCACATCTTTTTAATATGTATTTTGGATAATGTGGCTATATGTGGCTTTATGTGTTTTGTATTGTGTATATGGGTGTGCAGATGTTTTGTTTAGTACTATGTAAAGTGACCTTGAGCTATGGAAAGGCACTATATAAATAATCAAGGTCCAGCTCGGTTCAGTTTAAATAGTGTCTGTGCAGTCAAGTCGACGATATCTCTGGAAATTAAGTGTCCTCGAATTGTGAAGAATGTTTGTCCATACTGTATATAATAAAAGTCAATGGTGATCAAAATAGTTTTGTTTTCCACTGCCTTTCATTACAGTAGACAAAAGCATTTTCTTTTTCTTTTTCTTTTTTGTTTCATGGAAGAATAGTCAGATAATCCATAAGAAACAGGTGCATACCCATACTGTACATGTGGTGAACGAAGTTCGAGGTCATGCTCGGGTTGCAAATTGTGCATACCCCAAAATTTGTTTGTAGATTCTCTCTACGTTACCCCTATATATTGTTCTGTGTTTGCACAGCATCATGCAGCCGCATAGATCTTACCAGAGGCCTCTGTGGCTTGCATTTTGTATAGGCTATTGTCGCAAAGATTTTTAAATTTTTTTTGTTTT